CATTATGCACGTATTTCCGCGTCCACCTCATTATAATACGTGCAATGAATTTCCTGCAGAATAAACCAGTCGGGGTGATTTCGCGCTAACACCTCCATTTCGCGATTTTTTAAATTTTATTTAAACTACAAAAACAAATTAATCGCCTCGACTGCGCCAGTCTACACAGGCACCTGAACGAAGTAAATATAAAATCAACGCATGCGCGGTTAGTATTAATATGCATATAAATCATATTTATTGCAGTCAATTAAATTCAGATAGAATAGCACTGTCACTACACAGCCTACATGTGGAATAATCTGGACCTCATGGTGCAACAAACTCATTCGCCAAAACCAGCTGTTAAAAATAAGCATCCATTCAAATTATTACCATTCATAAAACCAAACATTTATCGACTACAACGCATCCAAGAGCATTTTTAAGGCTTTTTTTAACGAGCTCGTGTTTGTTGTTATCAACATTTATATCTTACAATCCACTTGCTTCTGTGAATATACTCTCAGATATACTGTATTGTTAATCAATAATCAAGCCATATGATGTATATTCACCCAGCTCATCAAACTATTAAAATGTTGCCATTTTAGGTGATTTACTTCATTTCTGAGAGACTGACATGACGCTGTTTTATATTCTACAACTTCTAAAATACAGGCTACAAGACACTTGCACTGTTTCATTTTTTATAATATTCATTTTTCTAATTCCTGTGTGAGACAAGTTACAATGATTAAGGTAAAATCGGTTCTGCAAGCTATGCTGGAAAACAAACAAATCTTAGCTGAAACTAAAATAAAGGTCAATGAAATGCGAAAGCGAACACAATTATTTGGGGTTTTCAAAAAGCAAAGCAACACTTATGCAAAAAGAGTCTTAAGTTTGTTAAACATTGAAATCCTCTGCACATGCCATTGAACACACGATGTTCCACGCACTTTCTACCTTCATAATAGTGATATAGACATGAAGTAGTGTCTTTCTGTCTGTCTGTTTGTCTGTTTGTCTGTCTGTCTGTCTTGAAGTTAGTCACTTCAACCTTCGAATTGTTTCGGAAGTAACAACGCCTACACTTTTGAATTTCAACTAATTATCCTATTTTCAACATTCTACCGGTGCATGGTTTAGTTACAATGAACTTTCATGATATATTTGGGAACTCCGGTCTTTAGTGTAACTTTTCTGGATTTAATAGCTAGAACATTTAGTACAGTGGCCAGTGCACATAGGTCTGAGTTTACTTATCTGAATAAACAATCGTTAGATCATTTTTTAATGTGGTGGTCGAATCAGACCCTATCTCCCTGTCTGCATGTGTACTTACTTCTGCCTCGCTTCCACCTGGACTCTCAGGAATGGGACTCTGACTTGCTCTTCTCGGTTGTTCCGTTGTTGGTGTCATGTTTTCCTTGTGTTTTTCCATCGTAATGGTGTAAATATGGTTAGCAAGTTGACGGCGACTACACTAAAATACTACAACAACCTAAAAAAAACGAAAAAAAAAACTAATTATAACTAGCGTAATTGGTAGTTGTGTTTTCATGTGCTCCGCCTCTCATGATAAATAAGAACTATGGAAAATAAGTAGAGTTTTTGCCATCAAATTTGTCAATAATATTGAATTGTTGACTCACTACTTATCGTTTTGCTAATTGAATGTACGCACAATATTTAATATCTAGTTATACGACGACTGAGATGGATGTGAAATAACCATGGCAACCATTACTTCGCATACTGACAGTGATTGATAGTGTTCAAAACACTTGCAGACGTTTTATCACCAAGTCTGCGTAGAATACCAATTTAATACCTCTTTAAACGTATTTTTATATGTATTCAAGTTAGTCACCCGTGAACTTAAAACCCCCGGATGTAAGTTCTCAAATAGGGAATACATATCGACCCCTCCTTCACGCATTTAACGGAGAAAGGTTTCCCGGCGGATTTTTTTAAGGATATTCACAGCATCCCATTAGAAGAGAGATGCTTTTGTCGACGATTTCGGACGTACTTGTCAAATGACAGACTATAAGCATTCTCATTGGCTGATGTGGACCATATTCAGAGAAGCTGATGTTTAATTTGCATATGGAATGACTACATATGTCACGGCATGACTGAAACATCAACATGTGACGTCATTCCAGTAATACATATCTAAAGCTTGTTGTCTGATGTCTCCATGTGTAATATACACCGGTGGAAATAACGTTTATTTGGTGATTAATTAGTAATAGATTAATAACATTATCGTAGAAACAAAAACAAAAAATCATGATGTTGACACCATGAGTGAAGTGAAACGTGTATCGAAACACGTGAGATTACATGCAGGCGTAGCGATGTTACATCCGGGCTTTCGTGTGCCAGCGTCCTTGCAATACCGCTGTCAAAATACTCCAAAAACACCGGTGTAAAGCTAGTATTTGAATCTTAGACTAATAGGTTCTCGGAGTAACATAACAAAACAGATTCCCCATAAAACATGTGTGGAATTTCCTTCCAAATGCATATTTTTTTTAATTTTGAGAATGTTAGATTACAACTGACTGTTGCATTTTTTACACCTGCTCAGTAATAGAATCAAGTGCCGTCCTTCATGGAATTACACCTGTATTCATAAATAACGTAGTGCACGTGTTCCGGTGATTTCCCCTGTGCATTTCAGTAATGTTTGTGCAATAACGAACGGACGTATCTGACAACGTTAACACAGCTGCTTTGAAGTTGGTCGTTGTTATGTACATTAAAGCGGGGGGGGGGGGGTCGTTACCTGCGCCGAGTCCCAAGCGATGATAACCATATACGCTAAGAACGCAAAGGCTCATGGGTAGACGCTGACAACACGCTATGGCCACCTGACGCATGCGTAGATGGTGACTCCCCCGCTTTAAACAACTGTCTATAATTTTCGTATGCAAATCTTCATCTTCATTTCCTCTTAGTGAGTTGAAAATCGATTGATATTTAAACGATAACTATTAACTGACACATTTCCATCACGTGTTGACATTCCTTGTTGTGATGATCAACTCGAAATCACAGAACATATACAGTGTCATGCTTGAGTCGTAACTATCAATACAATGAACATATTCTGTTCACACAGGCAAGCTCGGTTTTCATAGTACTGTAAAAGGGTTAATTATTCACTGGGTTTTAATTTTGCTTATTTCGCTGACTGGAAAATGCGCTGAAATAAAACCCAGTGAATATGTAAAATTTAGCATAGAGCACATCACCTAAATGATAAAACCGTGAATTTAAAACCCACTGAATGAGTAAATGGTAAATCAGCAAAATTTAGACCCAGTGAAAATTAGTCATTTTACAGCCTGAGTGTGCTCGGTGAGTTGAAACAGCTTGGATCTGAATAACATCCACAAAATTACGAAATTACAAAACGACGCCGGGCTTTTTTAGTCAATTTGAGTGACGCTGATGCTTGAACCAATTCTAGTGTAGTATTTAAATTGAAGCAAAAATTACATTTATCGTTCCTAATGATGTTATATCCGAATGAGCGATTTTGAAAAATTAAAATATCCAGGACACAAACAAAATACGGTCCTGTAATTACAATTCTTCAATTTTTCTATTCGAAAATAGATGAAGCAGACAATACAGGTCACATGGCATGAAATCGATATGTGACTTATTCCGTGAATTATGTTATTGGTTAAAATATGAACAAATATTAGCATTCATAGTCGATGAGCGGTTATTCTATTTGTGTCAATTTTCTCATTTTTCACCATCAACCACGCTAAGCCTTGAATTGCAGTCTTAAATTGTTAATTTCCGCCTCATTTATTGTTTAAGGACGTTCTGTAACAACGAAGGGAGACCCGATAAAGCGATACTGGGCGATGTATATATTCTGAGAGACATATAAAGCAATGACCTCGTAATGAGATCGTCTCTGGTTTAAGCCGGTTTTCTAAGATTATTATAGATGCAAGGGAGAGCAGTCTGTTGTTGACGTGCGTTCACAGAACCCTTCATATTTAATTAGAGAGATACGAAACGTCGCAATTAAAACTCGTCGCTTCATATATTTGAAAAAAGGAAAGAAAGGCGGATTTCTTTCATTATATTATGTCTCGGTACTATTGAAGTGACACGATTCAAGAATACCAGCGGAGAATGCAAAGTAGGGATTCTTATCATTGAGGTTGTGACCTCTGTGTCACAAATCCATTACTAGTGACGTGTTGAAATTATGCATAATCTTTACTGCATCCGTTGATGTTGTAATGCAGACCACGTGACGTCTTCGCACAATCACTTAGACCCCCAAGATCTCGCGAGAGCGTTGGGATCAGGGCTGTTATCATGGGAAGAGAACGACAGATTATATCAAAATTGTTGCTATTGTAAGATTATAAGTGAAGTTAAATATACATATAAAGATAATTTCAACAAGCCAAAATAAATGCGCAGTTACCATTCCGAATTTATCCTGATGTTACGCAGAGTTAAAAGCCCACGGTGCTCGTTGTCGGTTGTGACGCATTATAAAATAATGACTATAGACGCACGACGCAGTGAGACTGGATACTAAGTACTACCTATTCAAAGTAAATCCCGGTGGCTTTACGTGTTCAATTCAAATCTTTTACCGTACCCTGAGCAGAACACAGACCACTCAACTAGTGACGTTAATTGCACTATTCTTAGGTTAACCCCGTACATTGCATATACAAATCGTGCAATGTAATATATTCTGAAAAATTGTGACCATCGAACGATAGCTGATAGATTAACAAAGATTAACTGTGAATCTGCCTCTGTCCTAATAATAGATTTAAACGTGACCTCGGTGAAGATTGTATTCACAACACTGGCATAAATGACACGTTACAATTAATGAATCATCTTGTGACTGACAATATTTGTACACCAAGACAGGTAGTGTTAACATATGAACGTACATTTGGCGGATTTGGTTAATTTATTGTATTGGAAATCCAAATTTCAAATAGTATTCATCATGGAGTAGAACCGATTTTATATTATTTTTGTATTCATAGTCACTGACTGCCTCTGTAGATATTATTTAGGAATACGTTGTTGTCACTGGGCGTAGTAATAAAAACCTCGTGTTGCCTGAATACATGAATTATGCATAGATTAAAATATGAGCTAAGAAAATTAGATCGGAAATTTGAGACGAGGCACAGAAAAAAACACACGATATCTCGAGCATATCACTAAACGTCGTCGCTTCTAGTGGTTTTGGTCACGGTGTAATCCAAGCTGTTTCTCTCACATAATATAGAGCTATAATCGACGAATGCATGTTGCATACCCGGCAAAACAAAAACTGGCACGCTATAAATAAATAACACACCTTCGTTGTTATATTGACCCCATCTGCTGGAAACGTCGGCCCCCTAACGCATATATATGTATACAGCGCACTACGGGAAATGCTTCGCAAATTAAAGCGACGGTATTCCCATGTCGTGTTTCTGTAGTATTATTAATTGCATATATTAATATAATTATCGCGTTTTCCTATTTATCCTGTTTTGAAAATTTGATTTTAATTATTTTTTCCTTTTCTAATAAATATTACAGATTAAAAACCCGACAGATGACTGTTTATACTGTCAACAGTTGATGAATGCCGCTTCTGGCCGCCACGGTGAAATGTATCGCCACATTTAGCCATACAATCATTTCTACTGCCATGATCTACATGTTAAGTCCGTATTGGAAAAACAAAACAAACAAACAATATTTGCCATCGTCATTGTTGCTGTGTATGTATATGTGAACGCAGGCTTTATTAAAAAAAATACAATGTTTCAGCTACTGACAAATTTCCAATCAGGCATGCGTCATCAAAGGGGAGCGGCTGATTTCAGTCGCGGGCATTTGTTGAGGCGTCGTTCTGAAAATTCTTGAAATTAGGGACTACATGGAACAGAAATAATTGTTGTAAATGTACCAATCAAGAGTGAATCATAAAATATCCGTAACAGGCGCGCGGGGTGATGATTACGTTGATTACTCGCGTAATACTACATTTAAAATAAATTACTGTCGGTTATTACAAACATAATTTTCCATGAATGTAGCAGTTGAGTAAAGAAAATTGTGTTAAATTGGACTTACTCTATGTACTGTGACGAACGACCATAAACCTCCCGCTTCGTCTACTGTGTGTAACTGTCGAGGCCTCTGAGTGACTTATGCCCGATCATGCATATTAATAAGGTATTTGTGATGATCACACACACTCCACGGAAAAAAAAAAACACTCGCATGTATAATGTAAATATCGGCTCGAGTCTATTTGTTTAGATAAGACCGACAGAGTACGTTTGATATAGAAATTGTGCTTTATTGATTAACTCTCGGATTTATAATAATGATAAAACACGCACACATAACATTCATAATTGAAAAAAA